CACCGATATGGCTTCTCTCCAGTGTGGGTTCGAACATGGCTTTTTAGTCCATAACCTTGAAATACATTTTACGAACACTTTAAGTCTAGGAACATTAAGAAATCTTATCACAAAATCAGAACACATATCCTTTATTCTGTTTTTCTAATGATCTCTTTAATTGATACATTCTACATTACATTAATTGATACATTTCAGAGAGAACAGTTATAGGGTTGCCTTTTTTCTTTTTTCTTTTACCCTAGGCAGATATACATGCCTATATGGGAAACAAAGCAAGCTCCCATAATTACAATTAGACTGGTTGTCTTGGAACCTAGGCAGAGGAACAAACAGGTGTCCAGGAGTGCTTCCTGGCTGCCCATGTGGTGTCCTGCTGACTGGGCTATTCCTGTAAAATGGGGGGAGGTACAGTGGTGGAAGATTTGTTTCACAGAGGGTGGTGAGATACAAAAATACAGAAGAAGAAGAAGAGAAGAGATTGGATTTGTACCCCGCCCTTCACTACCCAGAGGTGTCTCAGAGCGGCTTACAAACTCCTTTCCCCTCCCCTCCCCACAACAGACACCCTGTGAGGTAAAATAATAATAATAAGAGATGGGATTTATACCCCGCCCTTCACTACCCAGAGGAGTCTCAGAGCGGCTTACAGACTCCTTTCCCTTCCCCTCCCCACAACAGACACCCTGTGAGGTAGAAGAAGAAGAAGAGATTGGATTTATACCCTGCCCTTCACTACCCAGAGGTGTCTCAGAGCGGCTGACAAACTCCTTTCCCTCCCCCTTCCCACAACAGACACCCTGTGAGGTAGGTGGGGCTGAGAGAGCTCTGACAGAAACTGCTCTTTTTCAAGGACAGCTCTGATCAGAGCTACGGCTTGCCCAAGTGACCAGCCAGGTGCAAGTGGAGGAGTGGGGAATCAAACCCGGTTCTCCCAGATTAGAGTCTGCGCACTTAACCTCTACACCAAACTGGCTCTCTTACTTCTAATCTCCGTCCCATCCCAAGGAATAAGGATGTGCAGGCCCGTTTAATTCCCTTCTCTTTGACCTTGATGCTGTGTAATGCCAAGTCACTAAGAAATAAGACCACAGTTCTCCAGGGATGCTTTGACGACCGAGACCTGGGCCGGTGAGGATGAGGTAGTTTCCCTCGCCCAGCTTACTCCCCCGGGATACTCGATCCTCCATTAACATCGAAATGATGGACAGGGGGGTGGAGTGGCAATCCTCATCCGAGACTGTTTTGTCTTCTAGAGGCTTCTGCACCAAACATCACTGGCCTTGAATGTGTTGGCCTGGCTTGCGGTGTCGGGGAGAAGATGGGAGTCCTGCTGGTGTACCATTCTCTCAACTCACCAGCAGACTCCCATCTGAAGCTATCAGAGGCAGTGGCTGAGCGGACACTCCGTTTCCATAGATAGTTGATCTTGGGAGACTTTTTCCCATTCATGTGGGTCTGTGCATGTGTGCGCCCATGCGACCTCTGGCGACTCCTACTGGGGCATAGAGGATGTTCAGAGAAGTGGCTTGATAGCCTGCCTCTGCCTACCAGCCCTGGTATTCTTCGGAGGTCTCCCATCCAAATACTTAGCAGGGTCAGCCCTGCTTAGCTTCCGAGATCTGACGAGATAAAACTTGCCTGGGCTATCCAGGTCAGGGGGTCTTGGGGGACTTTAACGTCCATGCAGAGACTTCCTTATTTGGTGTAGCCTCAGACTTCCTGGCTGCCATTGCAACACTGAGCCTCTCCCAGGCAGTGTTCCCTCTAAGCTGAGTTAGTGTGAGCTAGCTCACAGTTTTTAAGCCTCCGGCTCACAGATTTTTGTCTTGGCTCAGGAAGGAGGGCTCCAGAACACACTAATTTATGCAGTAGCCAAAACACCTGCTCACAACTTTAATGCCAGTTGCTCACAAAGTAGAATTTTTGCTCACAGGACTCTACAGCTTAGAGGGAACACTGCTCCCAGGTTGTTTTGACCCCTCCACACATAAAGCAGGCCACGTGCTAGATCTGATCTTTTGTGCAGGGCTTGATCTGAATAGTGCAGTAGTTTGTGAACCAGTGCCATGGTGACACCACTTCTTTGTAAGAGTTGGTTTGGGGGTGGTCATTCCCCCCTGCAGGAGTGATGAGCTCAGGGCTTTTTTTTGTAGAAAACGCCCAGCAGGAAAAAAGCCCAGCAGGAACCCATTAGCATAATAGGCCACACCCCACAGCAGACACTCATTAGCCTATTAGGCCACACCCTTGACAGCACAGCACATTAGCATATTAGGCCGCACCCCCATGTTACCAGAAGTGTGGTCACCAAGCCACACCCACCTTTTGCTTGTTATTCTGTTTATCTTGTTTGTTGTCAAAACCCAGGGCTTTTTTTGTAGCAGGAACTCCTTTGCATGTTAGGCCACACACCCCTAATGTAGCCAATCCGAATGAGTTTCTGCTGTTGGGTGTGGCCTATTATGCTAATGAGTTCCTGCTAGGTGTGGCCAACTCAGGAGCCAGCCGGAACTCTGTTCCTGTGCGTTCCTGCCCCAAAATAGCCCTGGATGAGCTTATTTATGCCTGCCCGCAGAGACTAAAATAGAGGTCTTCAGGGAGCTATTGATCGGATTTGCTCCCCAGTGCCCTCTCTGTGCCCTCGTGTCTCTGTGGCTCCTTCGTATAATGAGAGTCTAAGAGACTTTAAGATCTTGCTCAGATGGCTAGAATGGAATTGGTGATTAACTTGGGACGAAGCTGTAATAATATACTATACCCAACTGAAGGCATATGAGATGGCAGTGAAAGCAGCAAAAAGAGATTATTTTGCCGCCTCCATTGCATCCACTAGCTCACAACCAACTCAATTATTCAGATGGGTTCAACAACTGACCAACCCTTTGGTGTGTCCTACAATTGATATTGATTTGACTCTCAGCTGTGATTCATTTGCAAACTCTGCCTGGAGTTGGCTGTTGAATTTGACAACAGTAGTGGGACACTTGCACTGTCTGGCTCTTTTTTGGACTCTTTTGGCCTGCTCACCCTTGCAGATGTTGATAGGATCCTGACAGCTGTGAAGCCAACTAGCTGCTCCTTGGATCCTTGTTGTTCGTGGCTAGCTAGATATTGAATAAGACTAAGTAAGGTTAAAGCGCTTGGGGCTCTTTAGCTTGGAGAAATGATGACTGAGGGGTGACATGATCGAGGTTTACAAGATTATGCATGGGATAGAGCAGGTAGAGAAAGAAGTCCTTTTCTCCCTTTCTCACAATACAAGAACTTGTGGGCACTCAATGAAATTGCTGAGCAGTTGGGTTAAAACAGATAAAAGGAAGTACTTCTTCACCCAAAGGGTGATTAACACATCGAACTTACTCCCAGCGGAACTTACTCCCAGGATTGTGGTCTTTCTTCTCTCCTTTTAATTTTTCTATTGAGACCTTGGATCATGGCTAATATACTATGGTGCATAATATACATAGCATAATATACTATGGTGCCACACAGAAGTTAAACCATCCCCAGAAAGTCTAATGGCTTTATTTCTCTGGCAGTCCTCCTGTTCTTGTTTGGAATAGTCTTTTGTTTTGAATGGTGCTGTCGTGGGTCAGCCATGGCTCAGCAATAGTGAGGACTCCACAGGAGAAGAGGACTCCTCAGGAGAAGAGGAGCCCTATGTAGCCAGCTGTGAATCAGCAGAAGCCAGCAAGCAGGAAGATGAGCTGCAGGCTTGTCAGGGTACACAACTGACAGCTGGTGCAGAGCCACCAACACCCTCCAGCCTGATCCAACAGATGAAACTCAGTTGGTTGTTTCTGGCCCTCCAGTATCATCTACACCCTTAGAGCACTGCAGACGGAGGCTTAAGAATAGAGCTACAGGAGAGACGACAAAGTGCACGCCTCCTGGCCCAATGCCAGCTGCTGGCTGATAGCAAAGATGAGTAGCTACAGGATTACTCTCGAGCAGCTGGCTGCAAGCATGACCCTTCAGCATATGGCTATAAAAACCAGCTGTTTTCATAGGGAGGCTGTTAGGCATGGAAGCAACAAGTTGAAATCCCTCTGGCCCTGCAACCACTGCATCAGATCCTGCCTTGTTCCTGTGACTCTTTGGACTGTACCCTGACTCTGCCTTCATTTCACCCTTGAACCTGCTGTACAGACTGAACCTCGAACCAGAGTACTGATGGCTCTTGACACTGTGCTTGGACCTTGGACAAGACCTTGACTAAGCTGCTTGAGTTGGTGCCCTTGCTTTACTCGTTTCATGCTCTGACAGTACATCCCCCAGCCCGGCTCCCAACAGGTACTTTTCCTTACATATACTTGTATGTATGTTATTAGTACTTGTAACGAGGCTATAATTGGGCCCTTATATGTTTTTTTAACTTTTCTCAAAATAAATACACGTATTTTCACTTAAAACAAGTATATAAAAAGGTAAAGGTTCCCTGGCTTGAAAGCCAGTCAAATCTGACTCTAGGGTTGCGGTGCTCATCTCCGTTTCAAAGCCAAAGAGCCAGCGCTGTCTGAAGACATTTCCGTGGTCATGTGGCCAGCATAACTAAACACCAAGGTGCACGGAACACTGTTTCCTTCCCACTGAAGTGGTACCTATTTATCTACTTGCAATTTCTTGCTTTCGAACTGCTAGGTTGGCAGGAGAAACAAGTATATATGAGGTTTTAACTATTGCCCCTCTGTTTCTTTCTTACCTTTTCCGTTCTTGCTGGAACCATAATACATGGCAGCATAGCTGAATGAATATAGTCTCATGGCACAGATCTTTATCTAAGGACATATACATACCATATGTATAAATCTTAAGTATTTTTTGTATACAAGTGGGGCGAGGCAACAGAGAAAGAGTGCAACAATATGTTTCCTCTTTTTATTCGAGTCACAGATTTTTTCTCATTATTCCTTTTTAATAATATAAACATGGTCAATAAAGAGGCAGGTTATAAATACTCATCAAGCAACAAAGACCTATTAGGAAACTCCATGGTCTTACCTGTTGCAAATGCTTTGCCACACCCTGGATGTTCACACTGATATGGCCGATCTCCTGTATGTGACCTTTCATGTACCTGTTAAGAGATACCCACTGTTTTTACGCTGAAACATGTGCTCTCTAACATAATGTAATGTTCTACTATTCCTTGAACCAACATGAGGGCACGCAAGGCGATGTTCTTTGAGAACCCTAACATGCTTACATAAATACAGTGCAAGTACCCTATGGATAGAGGAGTGGGAAACGAGAGCACAAAGCAGTTTGGCTGTGCCTGAAACTGAGAATGAAACCTACTACAACTTGCCTCCTCTCTGGACAGATCACATAAAAATACACTGTGTATCATCAAGTTTATAAAAGCTTGCTTTTGTCTCATTATGGTAATGGGATCTTTGAGCTGAAATATTTACCTTGGGATAATCCTCGTATGTCATAGCCAATGGCTGGCCACTATGAGGATAAAAAAATCTGAAAAACGCGGCCAGCTCTTGCTACAGTTTGAGATTCTGCAAACCAGGAGAATACCCCAATTTGCAGAAAAATCTGATTTTAAATTTAAAATAAAAAGAGAAGTGGTGGGGAAATTCCCAAAAGCTTTCAAGAGGAAATCTGAAATTCCTGCCACCCTTTGTAAGAAGGCTTCATGATATTTCAGTTGCCATTTTGCATTGCTGAGGGAACCCCTCAAAACATGTTGTGATTTGTGGAATCTGTAGAATGGTTCAGTGCCTTCTGTCAAGTGCCAGGTGAGTTGTCCAATGCTTGGCAGAGGACACTGAACTGTTCTGCTGATTCCCTAAAACACAACACCAGACAGAGGCCTTGAACAAACCAGAATGCCATGGTGGATACAGCTATCAGCAGAAGGAAGAGGAATTGGGGGACCAGAAAGTGATGGAGCCGCCATAAGAGAGGAAAATGGAGATGAAACCAGCAGGAGGGGCAGCAAAGACCATACCCGGGTGGGGTGGGGGGGTGGATGCAATTTCCTTTCCTGTGTAAATTCTTCAAGGATCCTTCCTTTACCGGCTATTGTGTATATCAGCTGAAGTTTTATCACTAGATATATGCCCTTTGAAAATATCATTTAATTAACGTGCTTCTATTTGAACTATAAGTACGCTTATCTAGTTGACAGAGAAATGGGAACTGATAT